GGGCACACCCCATGAAGCAAAATCTTGCAAAAAATGTTGACAGGCATGATTACCTGTTTCACCTGTGTGAAGAGAAGGAAAAACTGCACCAGAGAACTTGTCCACTGAACCATGAGTATTGTTAAATTTACCAAAGGAAGGCTATTTAGTGATATCCGTTTGCCATAAATGCAGGTTTTGTAAACACCGTGGGTTGGTCACTCTTTGAAGAAACAGGAAGGTGCACAAGCTGACATTCAGGGCAAGTACTAATGATAGTTTTATCTTGACTTTTGGAAATTTGAACATTCCCACAAGTGCTTGTGCATTTTGCTGAAAAAAGGCATGACTCAGTTTTGCTTGTTCCAAAATGTTTGGCAAAGTGTTTGAAATAACCATTGTCACTTTGTCTGCTCTGGCATTTCCTTCCACTAAAAATCCAGGAAGCGAAGAATGAGCCCTGATGTGAGAAACAAAATATGGATTAGTTCGTTATTGCAAAGTTGTATAAAGCCATGAAAGCCAATGATATCTAAGTGTCATTACTATCATTCTTTAGAACTGATCCTGCTATTCTTTTAACCACATTAGCAACATAAGCAGAATATGTTAATTAATCAAAAGGTTGTGGGAAGAGCTGAAAAGCCTGAACTACAGCAGCAAGTTCAGCAATCTGAGGAGATCCTTCTACTATTTGAATATCTGATTCCCAAGTTCTAGTTGTTTGGTTCAACCAACTTACGACCGATCTGTGACTTCTGCCAGATCCATCAGTGATTAGAATTATTGCCTTTAAAGGTTCTTTACTTAACATAGGTTTCTCTCTAAAACTCAATTTTACCTGAAATAATTTGTGAGCTGGGTAATCAACAGAAGAAATATCTGGAAAATTTAACCATGCTCATTGCAAATCATCCGAATTTTGCAGAATTTTGCATTTGCAATGCATTAGCATTACCCAGTCAAGATCATCTTTTTTCAGTGGTAAATAGAGAGCTCCAAATTCTTGACCTGCTAAACTTAACAATCTTGTTCTGGCCTTAATCACAATTTCTGCTATCATCTTTAAAACTGTGAAAATAATCTTTGGAAACCTGTAGGGAAGGCAAAACCCATTCTATTATCAACAAAAGATGTCTCTCAGAAGGGTCCCTTTGAAAAATGAGACCACAAAGCTGCATTTTTTTCTCCTAAAATTGCAAAAAAGAAAGGCTTTTCTGGAATACAGTGATGAGTTTGTCATCTTTGGAGAGCCTCCATGACCTTGTCACAGGCTGCACAAGCTTCAGGTGTTAGAACTCTGGGAGAATTGATGTCACAGCTTCCTCTCAGTAAATTGAAAAGTGGACCCAGTTCATTGTTGGTGATTCCCATACCAGGTGTGACCCAATAGATTTCTCCTAGAAGCTGTTGTAAATCTTGCAGGTTGGTGACACTGGTCTGGAGCTGTATCTTCTGTGGTGTTATTGTTTTTTCAGTCATCTTCCATCCCAGATCCTGCCAGGGTGGAACTTCTTGAATTTTGGGTATAGAAATTTTAAGTCCTACATGTTGGATTTCAGTAACAACACTAGGATGAGTTTGCTCCATCTCTGGCTGCATTGGAGCAGCAATGAGCAAATCATCCACGTAGTGTAGAATCATGGATCTTGGATACTTCTGTTGAACTGGAGACAAAACTTGTGTGACAAAATGTTGGCAAATTATAGGCGAATTCTTCATTTTTTGGGGCAATGATTTTCAGTGGTATCTCTGCCTGAGTTCTCTTTGATTGATGACTACAACTGAAAAGGCAAATCTTGGAGCATCATTGGGATGAAGTGGGATGTGGAAAAAACAATCCTTTAAATCAATGACAATGAGAGGCCAGTGTTTTGAGATCATTGATAAAGAAGGAAGTCCAGGTTAAATAGGTCCCATGTCTTCAATTGATCTTCATTGATCTTCTTCAGGTCATGAAAGAACCTCCAGGAGTCCAATATCTTCTTATGGATGATGAATACTGGTGACTATTTGTGGCTGTGATGTGGCCTTCTTGTAATTGCTCCTTTACCAATCTTTTAAGGCTATTTAATTTTTTCTCTGTTAAAGGCCATTGATCAATCCATATTGGATGATTGGTTTTCCAGGTCAGCTTTCAAGTGGCAGGTTTCGACGTGGTTTCCATCACAGTCCCACCTCCAGTTCTGTTCCCTCAGACAGGAGGGACAGGACATCTCTCCCCCAGACGATGAGAGGCTTCTGAAGAACAAAAGGATGCACCGTTGCTGTCTTTCCTTCAGGACCTGTAATGTTAATCATGGATGCACTTTGCAAACACACGGTAGCACCTCCAATCCCTGTGAGGGAACCTGCAGGAGCTACCAAATCCCAATTGCTGGGCCAAAACATGTGAGAAATTACAGTGACATCTGCACCAGTATCTGGCATGACTGTAATGTAAATTGTTTTACCACAGTCAGTCAGGCAGCAAGTCAATTTTGCTTGGTTGCGGTCCAAACATTGCATCCAAAAGATCTCAGGACTTGAGGTTCCAAATGGCGCAGACATCTTTGAATTCTCTGGAAAGTTGTTTTGCTTGGCTGTATTCATGGGTGAAAGAAGTACAATAGCAATAGGTGTTTTTGGTGGAGTCACCATTGGAACGTTTAATGCAATAGCTAAAATTACTAGCTCTTTGTTACAATTTATTGAAACAACAGCTGGAAGGCCTGAAAGTCTAAAAGTTTTGTTGCTAGCTTTGCCTAGAATCAACAGGTACTGTCTTTGTTGGAAAAAAACCTGGTAATTCCAGTAGAAATACTTTAATAACAGAAATTATTTAAAAGGTATATCGATTTTGAGGAGGCCAATGGCCAATTTGAACCTTGTACCTGAGGGTATTGAGCTGGGACCATTTGAGGGATGGTTGACTGAGGAGTAAATGACTGAGGTACCAATGCCATTTGACTGGGTACTTGACTGTAAGGAGGGACCACTACTTGTGTCGAGGTGCGGTGATAATCCATGCTCTTTTTTGAGTTTAACGACCAAGCTTTGCCATTGATGTCAAATTGAGAACGACAGTGCTTAGTAAGATGCTTCCCTTTCCCACATCAAGGGCAAATAGAAGGCTGTTTAGGTTGGATTGTTGTTGTAAGACAATCTCTTTTCATGTGTCCTGGTTTACCACAAGCAAAGCAACCAGACTTTTTATCAGAGTCCCAACTGTACAGGACCAACAGATTTTGCAAAAATTTTTATTTGTGCTTCAAGAGCCTTTTGAAAAGCCTTCAAGCTTTTCCATTTTTTGTCCCAAATTTTCTCCCCAAGTCTTTCCCAAATTATATCCCAATGTTTTTCCTACCTTTCCTTGAGATTCTGCAATCTGCTTTCCAAAAGCATTGATTTGCACATTAGCAAGATGTTGTGCAGAGATGAGTTTACTGCAAGCGGTTAGCATCTCTGTTACAGTTGGAGGCTGATCAGGTGAAGTTATAATTTTTTTACATTCTTCCTATAAGTTCTTTGATATCATGGTGAGAAAGAGTTTCCTATTGTGGATTTACATCATTATGACCATGTCTTACAGGTAAGGCAAGGAGTTGTTTATTTGAATCCAAATTTTTTTCTAAATTTTGAATAATATTAGACCAATTAAGTAGTTGCAATGGAAGGCTTACCGCTAATTCAGACTGTGTTTTGTTTTTTCCTTTCATCACTCCTGTATCTGATCCAGAAGAAGAAGAACAGGTAGTGTTGTCACAGCAATCAGCTGTCCCAAGAACTCTGCCAGGAAGCTCCAAGTTCTTGGCAGTAATGTCATCACAGCAACAAACTTTCCCAGGAGCCCTACCAGGAAGGGCTGGGGAGGAGGGCTCCAAGTTCTTGGTGAGAGGAAGAAAGCCAGAGCCTGCTAACTCATGTCTTCACTAAATTGGATCCTTTTAGATTCATACAAATTGGGCTGCTCTCCAGCTGTAGATCCTGAATTTGTGTTTGTAACTCTTTCCAATGGACTGTTACAGGTTCCACCCCGTATCCCTGCCCACAGGGATACAGCTGGAAAACTCTCAGGTCTGATCTGCAATCTCAGCATTCTTTCTCCCCCAGCCCAGCAGCGAATGAGACAGGCTTCAAGGCTTCTAAACAAACTGTGTCTCCACAGCAACTCTCCTGAGCTCTTCCACCTCCACCCCATCCACCTCTCTGGACAGAGCCCTCCCCTGCCGGCAGAGCCAAATCCAAAGCCCCCCCACCTGCTGTAATGGGAGGCTGGGGAGCCAAAAGTGGTGAAAATCCCAGAAGAGTGTTGGCAGAGGAATCTATATGAAAAGAGTCCTCTGAGCTGCAAAGCAAACTGCCTGCCTTAGCCCAATCCGAGGAGGTGACTTCCTGGGAAGGGGAAGCAGTGGCAGGAGTGACACTGCAGTCCCTCGGCCAGGCAGAGCGGATCCAGAGCCTCCCTTGGCAGACCCTGCCTGCACAACTTATGAACAAGATCCAGCCTCATTTTGTTCGGAAGAGGAGCAGGGCACAGGAACAGCAGCTCCTGTTCTGCAAATCTTCTTCAAATTCTCATCTCCTGGACCCGTTCAATTCCCAGCCTCCCCAGAACACATCCCCTGACCCCTCTGAGACAGTAGAGATCCATTCTGAATTAGGTGAAGAGTCTAGGAGAGGTGAAAAGTCTGTGAAGCCAAAGCTGAAGGAAAAATTGCATGCCGGAGACAGCGAGGAGGCAGAGAAAAGAAAACAGAAACGACCACGAGGTCAATTTGCCCCCGACCTAGGAATTCCTTTGATAAAGAAGAACTGGCAATAAATGTCACACGGAACTAATATGTACGAACCTATTGTGAAACTGTATGCATATGCATTTGGAAAGGGGATAAAAGGAGACCTGAGGTCTTCAGGGCCACGCATGCCTTTTGGGGAGGCTTGCGTCCAACGCGCATCGTAATACAGGCATGCCGGGCTTTACAACTTTTATAAAGTTGTGAGGTTTCTTCATTTCTCCGCAAAACAATCTGGCGAGCCAGGCAGGAGGAGGAGCGATACTTTCTGTCTCCGTCTCTGTCCCTGCAGTGGCAGGGGGGAACCGACGGACTCCTAGGCGCGCCCCAGGATTTTCCTGGAGGAGGCTCCGCTTGCCTCAGCTTGCCTCCTGCGAGGATAGACAAGGACCTGCTGGCTGCAGAGGAAGATATGGTATGTACTGAGGGGCCCCCGGGGGGGAAAGGAGAGCAAGGGAGTAAACCACCCAGAGACATCTGGGTTCAGCTGATGGAGCAGCTGTATTAGAGACGGGGTTCATCGTTCTGATAGAGCAGACCGCAAGCAGTTCTGGGGGTGAGCCGGGTGAACCCGTGTATGTGTGTATCAGGGTTCATTGTTCTGATGGGGCAGAGCTGAACCCGTGTGTGTTTTGTTTGTGTGTGCCTGTGTGAGTGGTGTCCGGACACTGTGTTGCGTTATGGTTAATGCATTGTGTGGTCAGTGCACTGTGTTTGTAATCGTGCAAGTGTATAAGTGTATGGTGTATAAAGGAGAGTAGATCTATAGCGCTCTACTGTGCGGGGGGGGAGCTCCTACCCGCGGCTGGAGAGGCTGAGTAAACGCTGGCTAGGGCTGGCTGGGGGGGCGGGGAGCGCCTGACAGAGAAAATAGAATAAACAGTGGAAACACATGGGTGAGGACGTTGATTGAGTAAAGGTGGTAAATTGTGGTGTAGATTGTGCACGCTTTCACCGTGGCTAGACGAACCCAAGGGGTTCCTCTGCCTCCGTGGTTTGGACTCGACCCTTGGGAGTTTGTGAACCCTGTGAATTATTGGATAGATAGAGGAGACGAACAAGTTCATTTAGAGGGGCTCTACCAGACTTCAGCTGGCACTCTAGTAAGTCAGGACTGGGAACAGCTTGCCGTAGAAGATTTAGAGCTCCCTGTTATAAATGGAATAGCCTGTCTTTACGGGAAATTTCGGGTAGCCTTCGGTGCATCAAGAGGCTGGCATGCTGCGTGGGTATTATTGCAGTGCAGAGTTTGTGAGAAACGCTGGTTTTGTTGTTCTAATAAGCATCAGGGCATGTGCCCCAAGTGTAGATTAGAGGTTTCTGATCAAGCTGATTCAGAGTCTAAGATCTTAAAACTTGTGTGTGGGAAATCACATCTGATACCTGCCACTTGGAGTGTGTGGGAGGAGGACTGGGAAGCTACTGTGAAGGTCTGTGAAAAGAAGTTTTGGTGGAATCGAGATAGGGCAAGAAGGAAATAATGGGAACTAACCAGAGCCAGGAAGTCCCACGGGCTAGCCCCTTAGGGTGCATCTTGGCCCACTGGAAGGAAGTCACCAGCAGGGGGGGCTCTGAGAACAAAAAAGATGTTAGAGGACAGAGCAAGGTGGCCACCCACTGGAATCCTAGACTATAATACTTTACTGCAGTTCATATTGTTTTTAAGACGGGAAGGTAAATGGGATGAGGTTTTGTATGCTGATATGTTTTTTGTTTTAAGAAATCACCAAGAGTGGCAAAAGGACTGTGGGATTAAATCACCCTCAGACCCACTGGTCTTGCCCTTGTAAAGGATAACAAGGCAAAGAGAGGGCAAATCAAACGCTGTTGTTCAGCATGCAGTATAGGACAACGGTGTATGATATCAGATAAGGTCTATCGTTCTGAGGAGCAAGAACGAGACACATTTGAGTGGGTGAAAGCTCCTCCCCGAAAGAAGGAGATTAGGGAGGATGAGGCTGAAACCAAGGATGAGGAGGAAGGGAACTTCCCCAAAAAGGAGGAGGACTCAGGTGGGGAAGGTGCATCCACTAGAACCCACCCCACCCGTGGGAGTCCAGTTGCGTCTAGAACCAGGAGGCAAGTAGTGCTACAGGCCCCTCCACAAGAGGCAGTGGGACCACAAGGGGGCAAATTAATGATTAAAGTGCCATTTACCACCCTCGATTTAGAGGCATGGGAAAGGGTTGCGAGGAATTATCATCTTGATCCAATACTCACTGCCAAACGCCTACGATATTTTATCAAACAACACAATCCAGACTGGGCTGACATCCAGCTACTACTAGATGCTTTCACTGAAACAGAGAAACAGCTGATCTTAAAGACAGCAGAGAATTTGGCAGAGGATTACTGCAAGGCCACACAGCTAGATGTAAAAGAACATTTCCCCCTCCAAGACCCAGAATGGGATCCTAATGTGTCAGCAGAGGTAAAGAAATTAGCAGAGTATCAAGAGTGGATGGCAACAGGGGTGGAAAGAGCTATTCCAAAAACCATAAACTGGTCTGCCTTATATTCCCTTAAGCAGGGGCCTTCTGAGACTCCATCTGAATTTCTAGAGCTTTTAAGGGATACTATGCGTCGTCATACATCATTAGATCTGGAGTCTGAGATAGGGATAAATCAACTAGTTAATTCATTTTTGGGGCAGTCTGCTGGAGATATCAGACGTAAACTTCAGAAAATTCGGGGACCAGACAGGAGGAATCTTGAAGTCTTTTTAGAGGAAGCCTGGAGGGTATTTAGTAACCGGGAGGAAGGATATAAACAAGGAATGAAAAGGTTGGTGGCAGTGGTACAGGAGGAAAGGCAGAGAAAATACAACCAGGGACCACCAAGACAAGGACCACCTCGGCTGGGCAGGAACCAGTGTGCAATCTGCAAAAGAATTGGTCACTGGAAAGATCAATACCCAGAACGGAGACAGGGTGACCAACAAATGGCTGCACACGTACAAAACAACATAAGAGGACCGGGGCATTCTGCCCCAGCGGATCCACTGGTTATAACAATGAGGCTGGGGGAAGAAGGGAAAAGGGTGGAATTCTTGGTTGATACGGGAGCTACATATTCAGTCCTAAATAAAGCTTTAGTACCTGTGGAAAATGATTATGTTGTAGTTCAGGGGGCAACTGGCCAGTCGGAAAGGGCATATTTTTGTAAACCTTTGAGGTATAAATTGGGAAAACAATGGGTTTTTCATAAATTCTTGTACATGCCTAATTCACCAAAGGCACTTTTAGGCAGAGATTTATTGGAACAAATACAAGCAACCATTACATTCAAAAATGGGGAAATTACTCTGGAGGTGAATGATCAAAAGTACATAGAGGTATTAAGTTTAACCCTAACAGCTATTGGAATTGAGGAAGAAATTGATGAAGAAATACTAGGTCAGGTATTTCCTGGGGTGTGGGCCTCTGATGTACTGGGGAGGGCAAAAAATGCCCCCCCCCCCCCCCCCATACTAATTAAGCTCAAGGAGGGAACGCAACCAGTGATAATCAAGCAATACCCCCTAAAGAAAGAGGATAGGGAAGGAATCAGCCCAATAATTGAAAATTTTCTGCAGTTAGGATTACTGAAAGAATGTCAATCTGATTTTAATTCTCCTATTTTACCTGTTCGGAAATCTGATGGGTCATACCGGATAGTACAGGATTTGAGGGCTGTCAATAAAATAAGAGAAGATTTGTATCCGGTGGTAGCCAATCCATACACTTTATTAACTTGCCTAACACCTGAGCTAACCTGGTTTACTGTTTTAGATCTAAAGGATGCCTTCTTTTGCCTCCCCATCCATGAAGCCAGCCAGAAAATTTTTGCATTTGAATGGGAAAGCCCTAAAAGTGGGTGCAAAACCAAGCTCACATGGACCAGACCACCCCAAGGATGGAAAAATTCCCCTACTCTGTTTGGAGAGCAACTTGCAAAAGATCTGGAGTCCTGGGAAGCTCCACAGGAAGAAAGAAGGCTTTTGCAGTATGTGGATGATCTTCTAGTGGCCACTCGGACCAGGGAAGCATGTGTGGCCTGGGTGGTAAGCCTTTTGAATTTCCTAGGACTCCAAGGATACAGAGTATCAAAGAAAAAGGCACAGGTAGTGAAACAGAAAGTTGTCTACCTGGGGTACGAGCTGAGTGCTGGGCCACAGACTTTAGGGCAGGCTCGCAAGGAGGCCATATGCCAAACCCCAAAACCCCAGACAATAAAAGAACTCCGAACCTTCTTAGGCATGGCAGGATGGTGCCGGCTGTGGGTTTATAATTATGGACTGCTTGTCAGACCCCTCTATGCTCTTATTGCCAATGGAAGCAGAGATCTCCAGTGGACAAAAGAAGCCACACGGGCCTTTCACCAGCTAAAGAATGCTCCCATGTCAGCTCCAGCTTTGGGACTTCCAGATGTAAGTAAACCATTCTTCCTATTTTCCCATGAAAGGGAATTGCCCTGGGAATATTGGCTCAGGACTTGGGTCCATACCAGAGGGCAGTTGCTTACTTCTCTAAGCAACTAGATGCAACAGCCAAAGGCTGGCCAGGTTGCCTCAGAGGTGTAGCAGCAGTTGTGCTGAATATTCAAGAGGCATCCAAGTCTACCCTGGGACAAAAATGACTGTGCTAGTGTCCCATGCAGTATCCGCAGTACTGGAAGTAAAGGGTGGCCACTGGCTCTCACCACAGAGGTTTCTGAAATACCAGGCCATCATGGTAGAGCAAGATGATGTGGACATAGTGGTGACTAATATTGGCAACCCAGCTTCCTTTCTCAGCAGAAATCAAGGAGAACCAGTACACCATGATTGCCTGGAGACCATTGAAGCTACCTACTCCAGCCCAGACTTAAAGAACACTCCTCTGGACGATGCAGAGACCTGGTTCACTGACGGGAGCAGCTACGTTGCCAATGGGAAGCGACATGCTGGGTATGCAGTGACCACCTGCAGAGAGGTAATTGAGTCTGGACCCTTACCAACAGGTACCTCTGCACAGAAGGCTGAGATAATTGCCCTGACTCATGCCTTGGAAAGGGCAAAAGGGAGGAGAATAAACATCTACACAGACTCGAGGTATGCATTTGGAGTCGTACATGCACATGGGGGATCTGGAAAGAGAGGGGACTGCTGACCTCACAGGGAAAGAATATCAAACATGCACGAGAGATAATCCAGCTGCTTGAAGCAGTTCAGCTGCCTGAAAAGGTAGCCATTATGCACATTAAGGCACACTAAAGAGTGAGCTCAGAATTGGAGGAAGGAAATGAGCTGG